CAGTCAGTGTTAAAAGTAGGTAAGTGAAATCACGGTCATGCGAATAAAGTCGTGGGTTGACGCTAGTATATTTATCAAAACGAGCGCATCCTGTACAACATCCATCTGGAAATACTGAAGTAACTCCAAACATTGAGTAACAAAACAAAATAGAGCAACTAAGAAATTCCCTCTTGCATAAATTCAAATTGTTGACAAGCGAATCTATGGGCTCGTCGTTATACCAATAAAACTGAACAAAAACTCATTGAACTCGCTACAAAAAATAGTCACGACGCACCCCACGGTGCTGTAATGGTAATTTATAATACATTTCACTCTTAAAACAGTGTGAGTTGACATAATTAAGTAATTAATGAACGCACAAAAAACTCTAGAGTGGGAATAACGGTGGCAGTGAGTGATTCATTTTTATCGATTGAGTTTATTTTTGTCATCGACTACTATAATGTCTTGGTACATCCCTAATTAAAATTAAAAGCCTAAATTAAAAAAAACATGTGAAGAATTGGTTATAATTAAAATCTTATTGACCGTAAATATACATATACTAGCTGACCCGCGCAACTTCGTCTGCGTTTCATTTCCCTTTAGCATTTTTCATTGCAGCGCCACTCCTATTGGTTGTAGCGTAATGTTATACAGCTTAAAGCCTTCCTCGAGGACTATCCAACACAAAAAGAATTTTTCAATTCCAATCAGTAGTTCCTGAGATTAGCGCGTTCAAACAAACATATAAACTCTTCAGCTTTATAATCTTATATATAAAATTCTCGTGTCACAGTTTTCGTTCCCATACTCCTCCGAAACGGCTTGACCGATTCTCATGAAATTTTGTGAGCGTATTGAGTAGGTCTGAGAATCGGCCAACATCTAATTTTCATCCCCCTAAATGTTAGGGGTAGTCCATCCCTAAATTTTTTTTTTTTATTTTAAGGCAAAACAACGTTTGCCGGGACATCTAGTATTATATATATTATTATATAGTATAGATATGTAATATAAATATATCGCGTGTTTTAGTCTTGTATCTGATAATTTCATTACTCTGTATTGCTATTTGTATTGTTTACTAGTTATATATTTTTTTTAATGCACCGCCTACATGAATCTCTGTTTGCCCAATGGTTGACTGAGAGAAAATGCCTCTAGGTGTTAACTCCGCCATGTGCACCTTTATTTATGTATTTGTGCATTAAAGTATTAATAAACAAATAAAATAAATAAATATATTTAACTACACTACACTATTGTATAAATTTTACTGGATTCCTGACCATAAACAAGACTCCATCCATCATTCAACGGACAAATACTATATAAATAATATTTAGTTCTTATAATATCTTATTATGTACCCAATTCAATAAGAAATTATAATTGATTATTATACACATATAAAATCGTACAACACTAAGAAACGTTAAAATGTGAGTTACGCACCTGCTGCTCGATAAATAAAACATGACGGCCACGCGAGCCTCCCTAATCAATTGTATCGATAATGTAGACCATTATCGTGATAGTTGCACGTTCAAACGTGTCTCCATCACGACACTAAATTGAATTTGACAATTTATTTACCCTGTTATTGCATACCAAAACCATTAACTATAAAAGCCTACGATGTTATCAAATCGAATTAGAATTGAAAAAGTAACAACATTTATCGATAAACTCACTTAGCACACGTTCGGAAACCACTCGCATCCAATAACAAAGAGCACGGGAATAAAAACCAACGAAAATCCATCAATCAAAGAACAGCAGTGAAATAATCAAATTTCCGAACGTCGAGTGCAGTTCAAAGAGCACAAACGAGGTACCGCAACAGATTTAGCAAATCGAAAAAGACAATACGACTAATATCTAGCAAAGTTCCGTGTCGATAACGAGTCTATGGCTGCAAAACGAGGAAGAAATACACGAGGGAAGATATTTAAAAATGGAACGATTCAACGACGTTCGAATGCTCGTGTTGCGGATTCCAATTTTTGAATTCCGAATCTTTCTTTATGGTGCATTCGATACTTTGTTGGCGTTTCGTTTATCTTCCAATCAAGTTGTCAAAGGTCGATGACACTACATGATTTTACTTTTATGAAATATAACTGAAATGATAGTCGAACATTATTCATTGGAATAGTTGTGTCTAATACTAGAGTTGCATGAATATGAATAATTAGGTTAGAGTGTAAGCAGTAAAATGGTATGCCGGGCTAAATGGCATCGATTGAAAGGGAACCACCGAACTTTTCTGTCACGAACCTCTTTTTCAATGCACGATAGATTTTACTACTGTTCGCTATCGGCTTTTGTTTCGCGACAATCTGACGGTTGCACGTTCGATATTCGAAATCAAAACAAAATGCGCTCTCCTCGCTTGTATTAAGAATGACACGTTCATTTACAAATGTAACAGTATACGATTATGCCATTGGTGTTTATAAAGTTTTACGCGTGTGAGGGCAATCTTACAGTTTTGTTGTATTTACGACTGTGATAAAAATGTTTGCGGCCGTGTCGACTCTGTTATTGTCGAGCACCTGTCACTCTTTAACTTTAATTTTATGAGTTTAATGTTTATCGATGTCGCTTGATATGTAAATAAATCAACGATTATCTTAGTAATCGTAAAATATTAAAAATAGGTTACATTATAAAAACATTTAATATGAGTGAATCAACATGGTGTGACATGTATTTTTTGGCTCCGCTCCATTTCGACTTCACAATACATCGTCACACAACAACTGCATAATTTCACCGCTGTCCTTAGGAATAATTTCAATTACTGCCGCTTTCCACTCGATAGACAGGGTGCACGGAACACGAGCCACTTAGCCACACGACAAATTTACAATTCTAATTCTCAGGTAATTTCAAACGATTTATATTTTATATTGTAAGACATATTCGTATTGCCGAAAAATAAAGTTGTTAAAACCGTTAATAGAGCGGGAGAGTCGGGTGAACTGGCGACGCGCACGCGACCGCTTCCGCAAGATCACTATCGATAACAAACTTACGGCTGCCGATTGACAAACCAAGAATACAAACACAATCATCCCTATTACAACTAACATTGAGTTGAAATTCAGATGCAGAACATGTAACATTACAACACGCTACCAATACAAATTATACCAAGTCTACAAATCCAAGACATTCGATTTTTGGATTGTCCTCTTTTTTAAATTTATTTAAAGAACATGAATTTCACTGGTAGAGTTGGGTGTTTGAAAATTATGTGAAAAAAAAAATAAGGAAGGCAAAGGAAAACTACTTCATGAAGTCTCAATCTACATTTCAAACATTCCGTAGATTTGTTTAACCGACGTTAGACAGTTAATATATTCGGTCGGCAATATCAATGCGTTAATAGGCTCGTGTGGTCGAGCCTTATCTATCGCATCTGGCCACCCCCTGCTAATGAATATTAACTAATACTAAAGCCGTATGAAGTGGGAATAATTTGTACATGTCCGTATTTTCATTATACTGAATGACTCATTCACTATAAAAAGTTAAATAACTTTTACCATGACCTAAATAATTATAAAATTCAACACTATAAACATTATGAAATTGTTAAATATTTGTTTGGAATTGAAAAGTAAAAGAATCACAATAATACTGGCCATTTGCATAATAGCAAAGGAAACAAAAACTTCATGAATAAAATTTTAAATTTAGAATCCGTTAAAAAATTAGGTCGTCGTAATTAGAGTGGGCAGTGGATATATCGATAGCAGGCATCGAGTACGAACGAATCGATCCAAGGCGTTCCGTGCGGCCGTGTAATCCTGTTTGCATATCGGCGCACGAAACACCCGCACTTATCATGTTTATTGATTGACACGCCAGTAATTCACAGTTTCAACCCCACCGGCCGCCACCTTATATGCCGCCCAAGTAATGAGCGGTAGCGACGCGGTGACCTCATAATACAATGTAAACATTTTTTTTATATAGCTGCATAGTCCTTGAATTGTCTTCCAGGAAGACTATGCAAGATGTGAGATGTGTATATGTGAGATTTTTGCGTTTGTTATAAAAAATACTAAAATTTTATTATATTAAAAATTTTATTGCATCCTTTAAAATAAAAAAGATAGATTTGTCTTTTCTAATGCTTTTATGAATAATCATATTATTAAAAAAAATACAAAGATTTTAAATCAGTTAATCATACATATGTACATATAATTACAATACCTTTCATTAAAAAAAAATTAACTGATTGTTCCAGAAGCACCTATTATAATATCTATAATAAAACACTTTTTTGTATTGAAATTAAAAACAAAAGAACTTCATCAACATATCTTGTAGGTACTAATAATAAAAATCAAAACAGTCCGCTACCAGCTTATAACTTGTAGGCTCGGCTTAAAATTTACAAGTCGCGGTTTACAGCTCTTTGTTTTAAGGTGGCGATAACTAAGTTTTTAGCTGTTTCGGTGTGTACAGACGAATTCTTGCCTCTTTTATCACTATTTGTATAATTCGTTCAGCTACCGAAAGTGCTGTTACTAATATATCGATAATATTATGTAAAACTATTTTAGATTTAGTACGAGACTTTATATCAATTCGTTTTAATTATTCTGCCTGAGAATCGAATAGCGGATTTATGTAGAGTGAAAGAAAGTTTTCGTAGTAAGTAATAACGACTGTTATTAATTCAAATTAAATTAAGTAAGTAATCGAGTTATCGATATAGCCATCGCCAATCGTAATCGTAATCGTTATAATATACCTATTTTATGTTTGCGATGGGCGTATCGCCGAGTCAGTCTCTAATGTGGTAATGTTCGCTACGAGCGGCATTTTTTCACGAACCTGTCAATTTTCTTTCGCCTCCACTATCGCTCTGAACATCAAACCCTGGCATAACCAAATTAGTTTCGACACGAAAATGCCAAGTGGCCGATTGTCTGCCGACAATGGAATCGATGGTAAACTTCCCCTTTCAATACTGCCTTTTTCTGTTTCAGGTAGAACAGGGGCGCAACACAATAAGAAACATCGAAAACTGAACAAAGAATAAAAAAATCTTTCATGACACGCGATCACTGAATAAAGAACAATCGATTACACTGACTGGTAACGGTCGATTGGAGCGCACTGGCAGCTAAGAAAACAATTAGTTTTGAATTTCGAATACTAAAATGTTGGGTGGTGAATTCGAATGTGGAACGCGCGGTGCGCAGGTGATCGTGTCATGAGGCGGGTGTAGGAGCGTGAGCGCGCGCGTCCGGATGCACCCGACGGGCGCGGCTAGTCTGCCCGCCGCACCTGAGGCGGAGGTGCAAGCTATGCACTCGATGGACTGGCTCTTCAAGAAAGAAAGGATATATCTACTTGCGCAGTTCTGGCAACAGGTGAGTTTTGTTGTACAACACACGAACTCTTGTAAACCAAAGTGAGTAAAGTCGACAGGTACTTAATGGTGATAGTTCAACAGTTAAGAATACCTACCTACTACAATAATTTAATCATATTCGGCTACTATTGAATTTAATTAGTAAACCTTTGAGTAAATAAAAAAAATACTCAATTTTATGTCACATATATATCTAAGTCAATTAGAAATATAGCTACGAAACCTTGAAAAATATTCTACAATCAATTGTAGAATATTTTTCATATATTATATCTAACATATATAAATAACTAGCTATGCCCCCGGTTTCACCCGTATGAAATTTATAGCCTATGTGTTATTCTAATGTATAAGCTATATTACTGTAAAATTACATCAAAATCAGTCATTTTAGCGTAAAAGCGTAACAAACATCCATCCATATTCACAAACTTTAGCATTTAAAATATTAGTAAGAAGATTGTCTTAAACTCTATATCATATATACTTAAACTGAACTAATACCATCATTTAGATATTAAATTCAATGGTAACCATAATAAACCTATACAATAGAAGGACAAAATCAATTAATAGTTTCACATTATATGTGCAATTAACCGCACCTAACCCGCAGGTCCCGACCGGGGCACAAATTAGTCGAACCGATTTCTATCGCACAATCGGCACACAACAATTACCTATATTGTTTAAACTAACTATTGTCTCGTATGGTAATATCTGAATCGCATATAAAGACAAAGTGATGAGAAATCGATTCAAACTGTGATTCCGATCATTCTAATTACAACTCTAACTTTGGACTGTAATTTAATTTTAATTGAAACTGAAATCTATATATCTCTTAATTATCAATAATAGCAATTCAATTTTTTATTTATTATATAAATTATTACTAAATTTATCAAATTATATCGATATTACAATTCGATACGTTCACAAACTGCTCTAGTTTTTGTCATAAGAATTTCTATTTCGTGTTCTAAATTTAAATTTAAATATTTTTCAATCGAATCAATAACAACCCACGTGATATCGACGTCGTACATCGATAAGTTGCTATACAGCATTAATTAGTCGTTGTTTAAAATTAAATAAATCAAAAGAATTTATTTTGTGTTCTTAATTTAAAAATTGTGAATAAATTTGTAATTCTAATAGAACAAAAATTTATAATTCCTGTTTCCTTTAAAACACACAATAATTTTGGCGTCTTTTACAAGTATTACATATGTAATTTACTTTTTTTCTGATATTATGTATCCAAATATATTTACATGTTCTAATAATCATCGATAAATATAACTAAATAGTTTTAGTCGTTGCTAAAATAAAATAAATTGAATGAATAATTTTTTGTTTATTATTTATATAAATTTGAAAATCAAATCGAACAAGATTTATAAAAACTCAAGTTTTTCTTTCAAAACGCGTAATATATTTTACGTCTTTTGCGAGAACTTTTTTTTCTGTCAACATTGAGTGAGGTATAATCGCGTGTCGCTTCTATTGCTCCACCTACTCTGTGGATTAGATCATGAACATGAACAATCATTCGCCATTGTTCTATATGTTAATATCTGATCGGCGTCCGTCGTAATCGAGCAATCGTATTGTATTACATTACGACATCGATTTGTATCTATTCGCCATTATTGCACTCGCAGAATTATGAGCATAGATTTTCTGTTTCTTTTTTCTTACTTCATGTATCATGCGAGTGGTTTGTTATCTCTATTTGTTATGTAAATGCCAATTCATTAGATTTTTTGTTTGCACCTTGTCATGTTAAATTTGAATGTTCTCACTGAGCGTGTCACCCATGCTTGATACGAAACGTATTTACCTACTGGAAGCATTTTTTATTACATTGTTTTAACTTATATTCTATACTAGCTTTTACACGTGACTTCATCGGAGTGGTATATACCATTTTTTTTATTAAAAGAAATAAGTGTTCTAATATTAAAATAGCCTAACACTTTCAGTGGACACGTATCTTTTTATATGAACACAAAAGTAAAAGCAAGTAAAAAATATATATTATAAAAACATATGTATTAAAATTTATATGAACACAAAAGTAAAAGCAAGTAAAAAATATATATTATAAAAACATATATATTAAAATGTAATAAAATATATAAGTTCTTTCGCCTACACTATTATTAAGTTTCTTATTTAAATTCAGTTAAATTTATGCTTGTAATAAATTTCATATTTAATCTTCATAAATGTATAAAAACATGTACTCATATTAATACAGACGACTGTACCCGCTAACAAAATTACCGATAGCTAGAAACACAATTTGCATACAAATAAAATTACATGTTCTAATAATCCCCGATAATGATTCGATCTATGACATTCGACTTCCCCGCACCTGTCACGTGTCAACGATAAGTCAATTATAGCACATTCGAGAACGCGACTCGATTAAATCGAATAATCGTTACGATTAATACGATGCCGTTCTTTTAATTTAAAGATAAATAGAAAACATTAATAGCAAATAAATTAGTAATGTAAGAATCGTGAGTTACGTATTTCAAAATTACGTTCGAAATTTGAAACTCAACGTAGTTTGGTATTGTATCTATTCTGTTGATTATTTTAAAATAAATACTGGAATATTGCATTCTAACAATACACATTGTAAGAGACATAAAAACCGATTAACTAATATCGTAAATTCCAATATCAAATATAATTTTAATTTTCATAATTAAAAATTACAATAAATTATAGAATGTTAATCATGAATTTAAAATTAGAATACATTTTCGAAATTCAAAACTATAATGAATACTACCGGTTGATATTCTGTATGACTCAATATAATTTTGTGGTTGAATATATCAAAAGAATTAAAATTCCAATACATATTTCGAAATTCAAATTAATATTGAATCAGAAGAGTTGGTTGGTATTCTATACGGTTGGATATTCCAGAATTCAAATTCAAATTCAAAGTATCTTTATTCATGTAGGTCTATTACAGACTTTTATGATATGTCCAATCTACCGTCAGTTCGGAATGATTTCTGAATCGGATCTGACAAGAAACTCAGCTCGTATTCTTTTCAAATAAATGTTATACAAGTTTACAATAATGTAAATTCATTTTTGAATTCAAATTCGAATACACATTTCTAAATTCAAATTAATATTGAATCAGAACAGAGGCTGGTATTCTATGCGGTCGGAGCCAAAACGAATGGCATGTTGTATTCGAACGATACAAGTGAACGACAAATTATGAACAATAGAAGTTGGTTATAAACTATGCGAAATAAATATTCATTCGCGTACAAGGAACCGAAGGGTCGCCGATGCGTCCGTCCGATACAACACATTTGAATGTTGTGTCCCGATAGTATTGTTTGTTATAAACCAAGTACCCACTAAGCCTTTACATTGATTAAAAAGCGTATTCAAATTTACATATGCCGTGCCTCGCTATGCAGTTATCGATTAATTCCTTACCCTGTTATACCTAGTGCTTCTCTACAAATTATTGTGTTTTGTGAACGTTTATTTTATTTATGTTTTATGTTTTATTGCTCCATAAATATAGTACCAATCGCGGACTGAATAAATAATAAAATGTATGAATAAATTATTTATTTGACAACTAGTGTTGTATACACTATATTATGTGTATTTCATAAAATAAAGTTTATTTGATAAACGATGTTTTATTGTAAATAAACCAAACTACCAGCAAAGCTATGTAATATAAGTATTAGTTAATTAATAGACTGGTCAAATGAAACCCTTATGGTAATCAAACAATATTATTTTATACGACAATTCTACATCTGAAGTATAAAATTAATATAATACAAACGTTTGACACCATAATTTGTCATGTAATATTAAACAGTAGTGAACAAGAAAGTGATATTCCGTAGTAGAGTCCGTTGTTCGACATTTTTTTTTAAATAGATCATTCAATAATGCATTGATTGATGAAGATACCCGACGGCAACCTTAGGGCACACACAAACTACCCAGAAATAAAACAAAAATTTAATTATATATACATAGAGGTTCTATCTGACTGACTGAATTATCAAAGTGTAGCAAACTAAGAAAAATATACTGAAATTCTCATTACTATGAAAAATTACAAGTTTCGTACAGCTAAAGCCATAGCATGTAACTAGTGGTTATAAAAAAAAGAGCACAGATTAAATCGATTAAGTTTCTAATTACACTATTCCACCATACTCGTACCGGCATTCGAATGATCAATCGTCATTTCTCGCGACAGTAAAACTTATACAATCACAATACCATCAAAACCAATAGTTATAAATCCCGCATTGACCATTAGCCACCCATCACGAGCGGAGACGTCGTTTAAAACTATATTTAACAACCGCAAGGGCTGATTCAAAGAAGTCGCATAATAAAACTAACAATTAACAACTATAAAATTCTGAGCGCTCGGGACTTTATTACGCGTATAATGGAACGGGTGCAGGAAATTATCGATTAGTTCGATAATCGATTGAATCTAATATCGGTATAGAATTCGAAATTCGAATTACAAAATTCGCACGAGCAAGATACATCGGCCGACACATGACGTCGAAACAAACAAGTGGACCATCAATTTCGCCTTATTTTCGTCGATTGAGTCTAATATCAATATAGAATTCTCAGTTCGAAATTCAAAATTCGAATTCAGTTTACGAAATTCGCGCCAAAATTCTCGTGTTATACAACGGCCGACACATGACGTCGAAGCAAACAAGTGGACCATCAACTTCACCTGATTTTCGTCGATTGAGTCTAATATCAATATAGAATTCTCAGTTCGAAATTCAAAATTCTAACTGAGAATTCTATATTGTACAACGACTGACACATAACGTCGAAACTTAGAATCAAGTGCACCATCAACTTCATCTTATTTGAGATTCAGTTATAAAAGAAAATACAAAAATTTGCTCTATGTAACACAAGCCTCAGTGAAACAGTAGACAA